AAAAAAACACAACACAAGATTGTAAGGGTGCTATAGTTATAAGGATTGAATAAGTAGCATGGGGGGTTAACTAGACCAGGTGGAATAAGCCGGTGAAAGCCCGCACTTGGCTGTCTTCCCAGAGGGAGGTTTCCCCTCGGGAAAGATAGAGAGGAGGTAGGCAGCAGCCGAGCTAGTATCCTTGTTGCCAGTTAAGGAATTCGGACGCTTAAGAGCGATTTTCAGGCTAGACTCTGACTAAGGGGACTCGTTGCCCTTGTCCTTTTCTGGGGCGGTTCGTCATTCTTCGAGGCTTTAGGGCGCTTTGTTTTGCTTGTTTTTGGGAAGGTTGGCGACTGGATTGACTTTTCTTTTTGGTACCCGGGGCTATGTGGTCGGCATCGGATTCTGCGGATTCACGGCAGCGGTGAGGTCGGCATTAGGATCGGCTTGTTGGGACGGTTGTGCAGGTTGCTCGGTGTGCTTGGGCGTTGAGAGTGCTGACATGAAGATGTATTCTGAAACACGTGCATACATAAGTATGGTTAGTATAGCTGTAAAAATGTAGGCCATGAAGTGTAAAAGAGAAAACGACAAAAGTAATAGAAGAAGATAGCTCGTAGTGCCCACCTACGTCATCCACGGCCTCTACCGGATGATTGGAGAGTTTGAAGTGGCGAAGTAGGTGGGCATCAATCGTCAATTTTACAACATGAAAGGGTTTGTCATTCCACTCCATAATGAGGGCGTCGTATTCGGCATTCGAACGTGGGATGTCTAGCTGTTTTGGAAGTTCGTGGATCCACTCGGGTGGAAAGTCAAAGGTATCAATGGGAGGGCGTACAAAGTAATACTTGTCTTTCCAATTGTGAATTTTGTTCTTAGGTTGGCTAAGGAACTTTGCGTTATGGCGAGTGGATATGTAGTAGGAGGTGCCGAGTGGTTTCATCCATAAGCAATAAAAGCAAAACTTTGGGTCTAGCCTCCCTAATCTAGCTCGACATATCATGATAAAACTTACAAGCATTCTAATGGCATTGGGAGAGTAATGATTCAATGGTAGTCGATACAAATAATATAATTGGGTTAAAGACACTTACCCATGAAGCCGCCGGCCATTGTTGCAGAGAAAGGAGATCGAGGATCTTGTTCGGGGGACTTGCCGAGAAACGGAGAGCACCGCGCCAGATCTTGGGGCCGAGGATAGAAGGAGATGGTGTATTAATTGTGAATGGGGATATGAGATTGAAGGCTGGGTATTTATAAGAGGAGTATTTGTGGAGGAATATGAAGGGACAATTAATCTAGGTCGTTCATTCAAAATGCAATCAATGGTGTAAAATTGAAGAGTGTTGAAGAAATTGGAGGGAGACTCAAAAAATACCTAATTTTGGTCATTCTCTTTTGGGGATGGATCTGATGGTCAGGATGACTCGCATATGCCGAGCTATTAATAGGTGAAGGCGACTTGGAATGGCATATGAGGGTGCAGCGCATCACTGCTTGGTGAACCTACGATGTGACAGGCTAGTAGCAATGAAGACGTGACGGGCTCGTCGGAGCTACAATGTGGAGGACCTAGAATGACTATGATGAGACGACCACATGAGAATAGTGATCTGACGAGCTCGTACGATTTGTTACGTGACAAGTGTGTTAGATTGTGATGTAACGAGCTTCTCGAGGTTGTGGTGTGACGAGCTTAGATTGACATGCCAAGCTTGCAGAAATGACGAGCTCATTTGTAGCAGTGATGTGCCGAGTTCACGGAAATGACGAGCTTATTTGTAGCAATGATGAGCTTCTCATAGCTATGATGTGGCGAGCTTATGATGCTAAGGAAGTGACAGGCACGCGTGGCTCGTAGGATGACGAGCTCGTAAAAATTTGCGATATGACGAGCTCGTGGTTGATAATGTGATGGGTTCGTGATTTTGTAGGGCGACGATCTCACAATTTGGCAATACGACGAGCTTACGATTTTGCGATATGATGAGCCCACGGTTTGTGAAATGACGAGCTCACGGTTTTCTGATGTGACGGATTCGCGATTTTGTTGAAGTGACGAGCTCGCGGATCGCGATATGATGAGGTTGTGGTTCATTGATGTGACGAGCTCGCAGTTTTTTCGATGCGTCGAGCTCGTGGATTTTTGATATGACGAGCTTGTGGTTCGGAGATGTGATGATATCGTGATTTGGCAAGGTGACGAGCTCGTGATTTGACAAGGTGACGAGCTCATGACTTTGATAGAGGACGAGCTCGCGGTCTCTGATGTGTGTGACGAGCTCCTCGTGAAGGTGGAAGTGACGAGCTCCTAGACATCTGAAGGGTGATGAGCTTGGCAAGTAGCTGCGATGTGGTGCACTTGGGGTAATTGTGATATGGTTAACATGTAAAGATGGTGACGTGACTTGCATGGATTGATGCGATGACAAGAAGGCAGTATCTTCTATGACAGATATAGCTTATTAAACTAGCGCTGGCCGGGCACACGCGTTAGATGAGGTGAAACTCATTCGCGATTCTCACATTTCTTTATTTCTTGGACAAGTTTGCAGGGCTTCTCCAGAAATGGGGGGGCTAGATGATGAAGCATAGCATCACGGCTCGGATTGGAGGAATGAGGTTAGCGGCTAGAACCGGTATGACGAACTAATTAAATTGGGTTTATAGGCCGAGCTCGGTACAACCCGGTATGGGAGTTGAGCTCGGCGGTCAGTGGAGTTGAGCTCGGCGAATGGTGGAGTCGAGCTCGGCGGTCGGTGGAGTTGAGCTCGGCAGAACAAGTGTAGAGGTCTTCAGCTCGTCGAGGAGATAATATGTTGCAACATGGCACTCCTACGGATATCACGGAGATTCTTCTGGAAGTGGGGTCATGTAAGACTCTAACTCTATCTCAAAACGTGCGTCATTCAGTGGTAGAGCGGGGGAAGGACTCTGGGTACAGTAGGAGTCTTCCTAGAGCCGTTTCTCTCCATTATAAAAGCCAACAGGTTCGTTTCTCAAAACACAACACACACATTTTATACAAATACGCTCTGTCTTATATATCTGCTACTTCTTCCGAATTCTTCACTGACTATGGCGTCGGAGTGTTTGCGCCGGGACCACCCCCGACGTATTTGCAGGTTACAGGCGATTCAAGGAGGGCAAATCGATTCGAAAAAGTGGTCCAGCGGTTCAAGACAATTTGACGTATCAAATAGTAATGTCTTTATTTATTCAAAAATTATGAAAATTATGTTATTATCGAGACATTTTTGAAAAAGTTTCAAGAAATGTCATTAATGTGACAAATATTATTTTTTCATCGAATATCACTAATGTCTTTTTAAGCTAAATTTATTTAATTTTAAAAATTTTTTAAAAAATATTATATGGTATTTTATAGTCACAATTAATTATGTGTTGTTGTTTCTAGATTTATAGATCCATGTTGTTTGATAGTTATTATTTATGATTTTTTATAATGATAATAGCGATAATAAGCACAATTCATCCACTAATATTATATTAACAAATTTATTTTAAATATAATAAATAAAATTTTCATCCACATCATTTATGACACTAAGCCGCGGAAAGCGCAAGTGGCGTATTAATCTTGTCCTCAAATTAGAGATTAATATTTTGCATTAAGGGCTAGTAATAAAATAATTACAAGTGGTGCTTGATTTTTAACATATCTTTTTATTTTCCCAATATATAAAAAAAAATAATTAAATAAACACATAAATATTACTGTATCTTTTAAAGTCGTGATATTTAGAGCAACTTGTCCTTCTTAAAAACAATACTTTATAGGGTTAATTTGACCCTAAAAGCAAAAGTTAAGTTCTTTGTGACATTATGACCTAGGGAATATTTTGGTAACTCAACCTATAGCATCTGTAATTAACTATAGGAAGGTAGTTAATTACAGATGCTATAGGTTGAGTTACCAAAATCTTCCCTCGGTCATAATGTCATAAGGTAGTTAATTCACTATAGGAAGGTAGCTCGTGAATGATTACTAACATATTTTCTTGTCCTCATTCAATTTCAATAAAAACCATAAAAAGGATAAAGAAATATATTACGAAGTTTTTTCCCTTACATTACTACGTTAATTAAATATATCAAAATTTTAATTTTTGGTATGCCTAGTTGGCCAATATCCATTACAGATGTACTGGTATGGCGCACATCAAACTTAACTAGAGCACCCACAATGCATTGGGTCTTCTAAAAAAATATCATAGGCTATATAAAAAATAGACTTAGTCTATAAAAAAATTTCTTTCAATGCAATTAAAAGTGGACATGGTCTATCTTATGTGGCAGTAAAAAAAAAAGACCAAGTCCATTCTTTGCTCTATTTTGAACCCAAGTACAAACTGAAACAGTCAACATTTATTCATAATTTATTTTTTCTTTAATATGGTAAACATATTAGAATATTTTTATTGGTTGACAAGTATTTTGGACCTAGTATTTTATTTTTGCACTGAATAACTTTTGGGTTTTATTTACTTGAGTTTGTTCATGTCATTTAGGATTTAAGTAAATTTATACGTCACATATGTAAAATTGAAATCAATGCATTGTGGGTGCTCAAACATGATAAAAGTTACATGAGAGGTATGATTAAAGTTGGATTATTTAAAGTAAGCGTACAATACAACCAAATCTCCCTTCTTTATTAAACTAAACTAGTACAATACCCGTGTACTACACGGGTTTTGAGTTAAAAAATATATTAGAAATGTTATTGCTAAATAAAATTTTATTTAAAAATTTTGATGATCTAATTTATGAAAATAAAAGAGGAATAGACAGTGCAAACAATGATTTGTAAATTGTAATTTAGGAGAAAAATTATATGATGGTAAGATTGCTATTTATCCAAATTAAGAAGGAAATTTGTACTAAGAGAAAAAAAATAACAAAATTAAATGTACACTTACTAAGTTTGAAAAAAGTTATTTATGTCTATACCAAGCCTAATTCCAAAAAAAAAAATTAATATACAATCAACATTTCGAAGCATAGATTATTGTCACGTTAGCATCCGAAGCGTTTGAGCCTTCCACTTATGTTCAACACGTTTTGAATTAATATATAGGAATGGATGTGCGTATTTACCCTTATATTTTAAAATTTTTGCATGAAACACCCTAATATTTAACTAATCATGCATATTCTCCTTTTTTTCATTTTTCCGGTAATGGTGTTAAGTGTTTTGTATGAAAACCCGATAAAAATATATTATAATATATTTACTATAAATTAAATTTATCATAATATTTTAATATACCGCGATAAATTGGGTAAAAAATATTGCTACCCAAAAGTTCGAACCTGACACTACAAGAAAATGATGAAATTCCAACGGAAATATATTCCAATAGAATTCCAACGGCAAATTTCAATAGATATTTCAATGCTATTATTTCCGTTGGAATAATTGCAACGGAAATTCCAACAAAAATATTCCGTTAGAATGAGTTTTCCATTGGAACTTCCGTTGGATTTTGACTATTTCAACAGTAGATTTTCCAATGGTGGTGGAAATAAAAATTCCAACGGAAATTGCATATTCGAACGGAAATTCCTACAGTGAAAAACCGTTGGAAATATAGTCGTTGGAATCATCAAATTCCATCTAAAATTTCAATGAAAAATACATTCCAACAGAAAATTCTCGTTGAAATTTTCGTTGGAATAATTCTAACGGAAGCTATACCATTGAGATATCCATTGAAATTTTCATTGGAATATATTACCATAGGATTTTTCGTTGGAATATAGCAATTTTTTTTGTAGTGTGAGACCTCAAATACGATGATTAGCACTAACACACAGAGACCAGTAGGGTTTGTGTTAATTTAGCTAACATTTAAAATATTTATAATTATTATATATGATAGATAAATCAAATTAAATTTAAAACATACTGTAAATTATTTTAATTTAATCTAATAAAATATAAAATCATAATAAATAAAATATTATAAACTAAATTATATATATTAAATGTAAATAAAATACTAACAATAAATTATAAATATTATAAAAAAAAATTACAGTTAAAGTAATAATATTTTATTGTAATTATTTATTTTATTTTTTATTTTTATAATATATTTAACTTATATTATTTCATATTTTTATATTTATTTATTTATTTTCAATTTATATTTATATTAACTAACAAATTTAGTTTACGTTTTAAGTTAAGACGATAAAATGAAATTAAAATTTATTTTACTAAATAAATGTATAAAATAAACTAAATAAATATAATATACTCAAATAAGTTATGTTATTTAAAGCAAAAAATGATAATCTATTTGGAATTTTTAATTCATATTTATGTTAAGAGTAGATGATATTAAAATTATTCAAAAAAAATTATTTGTTTGTTTTATTATATTAATTTAATATTTATTTTATTTTACATTTTTTACACTTTAGTATTTTATGTTAAATTATTTTTATTTTATTTTAACTAGTTTACTTTAACTTTGTTTATTTCATTTCATGTAATTATTATTTTATCATTGTCAAATTCATAAACTTAATTTTTATTTTTATAAATAAAAAATATATAGAGAAATCTCTATCGGTGCAGCTGCTATTCGAGAAGGCGTGACAAGAAATGGGTGGTCTTCCTCTATTCCAGCCTTTTTTTTTTATCCGAAACGATAGAGAATTTATATAACAAACGCACAAATATGGAAAGATACAACTTGGAACGCAACCCAAAGCTGAATAAAATGGAAGGACAGGTCTGACAACCGCCTAGAAGTCCGACTCTAGCAAACGCTAGAAACCAAAACAAGACACTCAAGACAACAACACAACAAGCACAAAGAAAAACTACAACGAAAAGCTCCCCACAGGAGAATAGAGACATGAGCTGGTCCCCACAGGATAATCAATTGCTCCCGCTCAAACTGAGGCCAACGGCCCAGACCTAAAATACAGAACATAAGCACACAGGCAAAGTGCCCAGACCAAAGACACAATACTACCACAAAAAACAACAAACACACAAAAAACAAAGGATAAAGAAGCCCTTCCACAACAAATCAACCGAACCAAACCAGCAGAGAACAGTCAATATCAAAGAATGATCCGAGTCCAGGGAACCACTTCCGAAACTGCCACAAGGCCTATACAAAAGCCAACCCCGAACACGAACTAAACTCCGAAAATCGACCCGCCACCAACCGGAGGAACAAAATCGAAACCAACTCCCACACCAGCTCCAACCAAACCCGTCTAACAACACTAGTCGAGCTCGAGAGGAACCAATACCCCGCCGCCTAACACCACTAGCCAAACGGAGAACGGTGAAGGTGGTTCGCCCACTCGACGTCGGCATCCCCGACATTGAAAACGCCTTGGCATCCAGAGCAGCGCCCCACCCATAGCAACATAACTCCGTCCATCAAAACCACCAACCCTACGTCGACCAGAGCCCGAAAATCCCGTCGGAAGGCCGAGGCCCGCCAATAAGATCCCCAGCAACCCCGATCTCAACCCAACATAGCCAATAGACGAAAGCATACCTCAAGGCGGCCCAAGGAGCCGGAGGATCTGATTGGAGAGGCAAAGTCCCAAGCTCTGATCGCCACGACTAAATTCGTCGCAACCACCTGGGCCCCAACCCATCCACAGACCCACGTCCTTCCCGACGCCACCACTGACTACCGAATCCGGCGACCAACCCACAGGCTTCGCCTGAAAAAGCAAATTCTTCGGTGGGAGAGCCGCGACGATCTGGCAGCCTTCAGCAGCATCGAAGACGAATCGGCATCCGGGATGGGCCGAGCAGTTGAGGACAACCACAGGCCCGAGTCCGCCGCCGCTGAGGAAGGCCGGACGATGGAGAATTAAAGCAGCGACGCCGGGATTTTTTNAATAAATTATTTTAAGTTTCTTTTTCCTACATTACCATATTTTAAATTTTATTTTCTTATTTAATTCATTCAACAACTATTAAAAATATTTATTCTTCTTATTTTTAAAATTTTATAACTTTTTTGGTTTGTATTTTATTTTTATATATGATATATCAAATTATTTATCTTTTAACTATTTTTGATTTGACATCTATATTATATATACAGAATATAAAATAGTGATATATAGCCTTAGAAATAAAATTTAAAATTATTTATCAAACTAGATTAAAATATATCAAATAAAATTATATTTTATCTTATAAAAAAATAAAAATTTATGGGTATTAACATACCATAATATAGCTATTTTATTTAAAAATAAATAAATAAACTAAGTATGAACATCAAATTAGTATAAAAAAAATATTCTAAAATTTATGTCTCGACTTAAATCAAGACTACGTAAAAATATTATGATCGTGAAAAATGTAAATAAACATAATAATTAAAATTATAAAAATAATTATTTTATTTCATTAAGTTTAAAATATTACACTCATGCACATTATATTTTAAATTGTTGAATATTATAAAGTTGAAGATATTTTAAAAATATACTAAATCAGGGAGGTAAAATGTATAAATAAAAAGTATAATTACAATATAATCAAAGTTGAAAAAAATTAATTAAAAATTAAATTATTGAGTTGTATATATATATATGTGTGTATGTGTGTGTGTGTGTGTGGTTAAGAAAATTATCATTTTAACAAATTGAGTATAAAATAAGAGTATAACTTTAACAGTAATGCTAAGGAGTCAAATGTTAGCTCCATTATGGAGCCAACAACCAATGGGACAGCTCCTTGTGGGGCTGTCGTACATGGCTCCAATGTGGGACAGCCCCACATGGAGCTCTCCCATTGGTTGTTGGCTCCGTAACGGAGCTAACAGTTGCCTCCTTAGCATTACTGATAATTTTAAATAATTAGGTTTGTTATTTTTTAGTTATTCGTTGTACATTTAATTTATTTTCATTCTACTATAAGAATATATATTTCTTAACTACTTTAGTTTGATACAAATATTTAACTTTCAAGCGCCCGTGATTTTCACGGGCATTATTAACTATCGAATAAATTAGTTAATCTATTTAATTTTGACAAAATTAAATATATATAAATAAAATAAATAATACTTCATAAAAATATTTTATTGAATTCGAAATAATATTAAAAATTTATTATTAATTATTTATAGTTTTTTAATTCATAATAAAAAATTTATTTTTTTCACTTTTTGTTGGACGATTAATTTTTTATTAAACACCCGTGTAATACATGAGTGTTATACTAGTGATAAAGAAAACCGAATCTAAACGATAAAACGGAATTTGAAAAGAAGTACCACCACCATCAGGCACATAAATCTGACCAAATTGTAGCACGCTATTTTGACTTTGTTTCCTTCATTGAAACTAACCGTAATTTCTATGCAAGTTGTTGTGAGATTTTCTTAAAGTGATCATGTGAGCGCCCGTCACTCTCCAACCCTCCAAATTTTTACACCGCCTATAACAATAACAACAACAAAATCTAACCGATCCCAAAAAAAAAACAACAACAAAATCTCCATAATTCTCAATAGCATTTGCACTTTTTCAAAAGCTACTCTCTCTTTTATGCATAACCTAGGCTTTGCATGCGCTCGTATTACACAAGTGGCCAACTAGTTTCATATGTACTAACTTCTCATATCACATGCACACTTCACACACGCGTGCGTGTATATAAACCTTGGGTCATCTTAAAGAAGAAAATAAAAACATATAGGCTCATATAATGTATCCCTATAGATATTTTCTTGTTTTTTTGGCTATCCCTTTATGCTTTTCGGGTCGTTTAGTTCAATGTAGGCCTTCCGAGCACTTAGAAAAATCGTCAAATTATCGTGTAAATTCCTCTATACCGACATCACCTTCTCCCTCTTCGAAGAACTATAATCCTCCCCAGATTTCATCATCGGTTTTTAACGTCTTGTCTTATGGTGCGTTGGGTGACGGTTCAAGTGATGATACACAGGCATTTAAAACAGCTTGGGACTTGGCTTGTGAAGCTAATGTCCCTGCCGTTGTTCTCGTGCCCGCCCATTATACTTTCTTGATCCAGTCCACAGTTTTCACTGGCCCGTGTGAAAATGTATTAGTTTTTCAGGTAATGTAATTTCTCAATGGGTGTTTGTCTATAAAAAATTCACTCACATCTAATCAATACTCAAAATCTAACTCAACTTTAACTCAACTTCATTATCTTTAATATTATTCGTATAGTTAAATAATACAAATCAATCATTCTTATACATCACCCCAACTATAATTCACTGTTCATCATTTCACATAATTTTAATTAGCTATCACTTCATAGCATCTCTCTCCTAACTTTTACATCAAATCAATTTTAATTAAATATTTTATTTTAAACTCAAAATCTCATTAACAACTAACCATACCACCTTTTTTGAAATTAACCAAACCAAATCAAAAAATCCAAACAAACATTCTCTATATTTAGGGTGAATTATGATATTTCAAAGTTAATAAAAATAGAAAATACATGTATAACGTATTATGAACATACTTTTAATTAGGTAACAATGTAAATGTTATATATAGAAAACGCACCAGTTAATTGGACAATGTTCTGTAGTGTAGTATATTTTGACCTTTTTGGCAATTTAGTCAGACTAGATTTAGCTGTAGTCTTTTTGTAAACGAACCCCTATTATGCATTCAACTTTCTATAACTTTTTTCTAGCATCACTGGAGCAACTACATACATTTTAATGAAACAGGGGGCCAATGGAAAAACTGTACCCGGTCCATGCGACAGCCCAGTTGTACGTCTAGACACAAACTACTTCATATTAATTAAGCACCAAAATTTGTCTTACTTTTATTCAAAAAATACGTAAAAAATGTATTTTCTGTATGCATTTTTCAGGCTATAAGATTCTATGGGAGCTCCAATTTGACAGTACAAGGGGTAAAGATTAAAAACAGCCCACATTTCCATTTCAGGTTCGACTACTGTGACAATGTCCGTATCGACTCTTTGTATATAAATTCACCAGCTACAAGCCCCAACACCGATGGGATTCACGTAGAAAACTGTAATGATGTGAAGATATATAACTCAATCATTGCCAACGGTAACACCAACAAAAAATAAAATAAAAATAGCACCTAAATTGTAAATATATTTCCCCCACAAGTCTCAATATTGAAAGATTGCAGTTGTTTCTGATGCAGGTGATGACTGTGTGTCCATTGGAACAGGTTCCTACAATGTAGATATAAGGAACATAACTTGTGGTCCTAGCCATGGAATAAGGTACAAATATTTATTCTAATTACAAAACCTTAAACATAATAGACCAACAATTTTTTATTATTTCAGCTTTTTGTAGGAAAAATAATAATAATAAAAAAAAAAGGCGGTATTAGGGTCCAAAGTTGATATTTTATATCTGGTTGGAGGCCCAGCACACCCATATATACATGAACCTAAGCACTTGGTCCATTCCCTAGCCCATGTGCCTACTTGATTAGTTTACAAGTAGGTCAGACTTGACTTTTTGATATTGTGTAAGACCTGAATTTTCAATTTTTTCATTCAAAAGTTTTATTTTTAAGTTATTCTCGTTCTCAATTTAAGACACCAGCTAACTTTTATATTTCTTACATAAATACGTAAACCAAAATATTATTATTTTGAAATTTATATATATTTTAAATAAATCTCCAGCATCGGCAGCCTAGGCACGAAGAACACGAGAGCGTGTGTGTCCAACATCACAGTCTCGGACTCAGTTATCATCCTATCGGACAACGGAGTCCGCATAAAGACATGGCAAGGCGGGTTCGGGTCCGTCTCCCGAGTGGCCTTCGCCAACATCCGAATGGATAGGGTACGAAACCCCATAATCATCGACCAATACTACTGCGAGAACTCCAAAGGCAAATGCCCCAACCAGAGTTCAGCCGTGTACATAAGCGGAGTCTCGTACACGAGCATCAAGGGCACGTACGACCCACGGGACCCACCCGTGAGCTTCGCGTGCAGTGACACTGTGCCGTGCACGAACCTCACGCTCCGCGCAATCCAGCTGTCCCCAGCTGCTGGGAAGGTTAACCGGTTGAGAGCTCCGTTCTGCTGGAAAGCGTACGGAGATGACGAGAAACACCACTGCTTGGCCGACGGGTTGCCGAAGTTGTTGCCGGTGAGAGATGCCGACAAATGCTGATTGTATATATGTGTATGTCAGATCAGATCTATTTATGTACGTAGCTGTGCGTGTGTGTGCTTGTATTATAGAAAATCTTTGGATGGGTTATGGCCGTTATCGCAACTGTCTGTGCCAAGATGTACGGGATCTCGACTATCACCTGAAAAATCATCAAAGCCTCAAAAATGCAGATAATTTTATTAACAATGGATAATTTTATTTGAATAATACATACCTGCGCGGTTGAATGCCCACGGAGAATACAACAGTTCTCCGTTGACGTACGACAGACTCGAGGAGGCATTGTTTATGCCGCAAAAAAGAGTACATGGATCCAAGCAGAGTAAACAGGCCTTGCTGATTATGCCTATAGAACAAATGCACAGAGAGAAGGAGAAAAATGTTAAGAGAAAGCAGAGCAGATGAGAATTATTTTTCTTACTGGACCAACGTGAAAATGGGAAAAAATAACAAATGGCGTTGGTGCTAGGACTCAATTCTTGTAAATTTCAGGAAAGTCTATGCCGAGTTCAGCTTCCACGGAAGTTGAGCTGACCTCCATCATCTTTGATTTTCGGCAAACCAGGTATGCACTAACACAGTTAAGAAAAACATAAAATATATAACAATCTGAGTTCTGATAAAGAAAGATAAATGCTTACAAACAAACAAACAAACACACACACATACATACAAAAGGCAATTAATCTCACCTCAAAGTATTCTATCAATCTAGATGACTGCAAACCCACAGGCCCACAATAGATAATCCGGCCCCCGGGCTTCAACAGCACCACCTGTTATTCAAAACTCCGGTAAGTCTATCCTTGAACCGACTAAGACAACTTTCCGTATGACAAGAAAAAACAAAAAAGAAAACAACCTCGTCAAAAGCCTCAAATATGTCGATGCTCGGCAAGCACGTCGAGAAAGGGTGGTTTTTCCGGTAGTAACACCCATGAGAGCCGTGAGCACGCCAGGCCTGAATGCGCCAGTTATGTCACAGAGCAGCTGAAGCTTCTTCTGGGTGAAACCGCGCTCCTTCATTGCCTGTGTGCACGATTTTAAAATCGATATATTTATTTATTCACATATGCGTTATAGTATAGAAAATTAAAATGTGGAAATTTTTTGTTTCGTTACCGACGTAATACTGCACGTCTTGAAACACCAGACTTAGTGGCTCAAAGGGTAAAACCATTTTTGCTGCGAAAGGAAATAAAAATAAATAAGGAAATAAAAACAAAAGATGAGAGGTTGTGTATATATTCAAGAAAGAAAGTATCTTACTTGAATGAGATTTTGCAATGGCAGAAACTCCGGAATGATCTTCAGGACGAGGTTTGTCATCTGGTTGTGATAATGAAGCGGGAAGTGAGAGCTGGTTCAAATAATTGGAAATTAGTTATTTACCAAATTCTATTTACATATTCAAAGTGCTATGTCGACTAAGTAGACACAATTAATGGAATGAGTCTTACGTTTTGCAAAGGTTAAAGCCAAGGTGAATCCGGTATTGAAGAGAAATGATATTCCTAACAATGCTGCAGCGGATATCCAAAAGAACTCTCCACCAAAGTTTAGCCCACGATTCTCTAGCGTTGTATTCCCAGGCAGCTCCTTTTGTGCAAGCAAAAATATTTATAAACATACATTAGCACAAGTTCATTTCCTGATCTCAATGCGAATTACGTAACATATGTAACAATGCAAAAAATCAAATGGAAAAGTTTTATAAGACCCATAACATGTGGCTACTACAGAAAGGTTATCAACAAATATTTTTTCAACCTTGAAGCTGACACTCCCCAACTATATTGGGTATTACAAAAACGAAAATATATTTTGTTATGCTACATCATATAACCATAAAAATATGCACTCACCCTTTGCCATCTTGGTGCCAAAAATTCATTCACAGTGAATCCTATCTGGCCATACGATAGCGGGGAAATCCAGAAAGCCCATTGGTCGCAGAAGCAGTATATCCTTCCTGCCAAAGAAACTCATGACTCCTACAAAATCATTAACTGTGACCAGTAAATAGAAGGAAAATCTTCTAGAGAAATGCTATTTCTTTTGCCCATCCAAGATAAGAGCTACCCTAAATTGTTTCACAAATATTAGCAACTAAGATATCATAAGGTAAAAAATCCGTAAGCCTAACATTGCAGAACTAGGATTTTGTTATAACATTCACCTGCTAAACCAAGTTACAACTTACAACAATTCCTACAGATACAAATAACTACAATGCCACACACGNACACTAATTTGAAAGGGAAAAAAAATAAAAAAAACAATCACTATATAAGCACCTTATAAATGGAGTCGGAGTGCTGAATTCCCATCTAATTGCAATGGCCATCTCCAACTCGGACTCTCCCTGACTTCGTAACCCATGCAACCTGCTGAAGATTTCTAATCATCACTTTCTCTTTCTCACTCAAAAGAACGCAAAGAAAAAGAAGAAAACAATTCAAGGTAGAAAAATAAGTACCACAATCAATTTTCCTAAAATATTTCGTTAATGAAAATATATTCTGCAATACCACACTTCATGACTCAATAGGTATATGCCATTCCGAGTATCAAAAACAGAAATTTACTTGAATGTAAACATGTACTTGGTTATTGTGTGTACAGGACAACATAATGATGCACACACTCAAACAACAAAGTCAAGAACCTCAAGGTTCACAAAAAGGTAGTTCGCTGGTTCGCGCCCGATAAATCCTTGCACACATTTCTTAGATTTAGCTAAGGTTAACTCCTTGCAACCCAATAAATAATCAAATTGCTAGGCCATTTTTCTCTATACAGTTGATTGATTTCTAAGATTGCTTCGCAATTACAACTTAACTAAACAATATTCAAGTAATCACTTGAACGTGCTAGTTGAGTTGTCATAATGGAGTGGTTGTTGTAAAGCTCAATCCTCAGCTATAAACAATCCTATCCATGAACATGAGAAAGACAGGGTGCAGATTGAACAAATTAAGGAGTAATATGGAGTTATATTTGGTAAATTTCTCATTCTCAAAAGCTGCTCAACGAAAATATATATTTTGTGGGATTGATAATAACATTCAATGCGGCAGCATATTTCACAAGGCATATGTAATCTTCTTCATCATATCATATGTAACAAAAATAATAATTGCTATAATATACAGAAGAAGCTTAATTACAAAATATACCTTAACATAATGAATTTTCCTGATGCTGCTTCTATCACTGCTTTTCCGGCGTCGAACTTATATGCACTAATACATTCTTTGGTTTTTTACTCCGGCCGCCACGGGGGATGGCCGGAAAAAGAGCAGCCACCAACCCGGGGAAGAGAACGGTTGTCAAACTCCGGCGGTGGGCCGCCGCTTGAAGGGCGCCTGCGGAAGTTCGCTGTGGGCAGGACGGTGAGAGGGTGATAATAGGAAAGTACAAGAAAGAAAAAAGGGGGGAAGAAAGCTGTTGGACCGTGGAGAGGGGGTTAGGGATAGGTATGTAGATTCTTTAATTTTTTTATTTTTTTTTTTATCGGTGATTTTAATCTATTGTTATTATTATTATTATTATTATTTGTACATTATTTGTGTTTTAACTTTCCATGTATACTTAGGTCAGGGAAAATNAGTATAGTTGAGAGTTTATTGTAGGTGAAAACAATAATGCCAAGTATGTGTGAGTCCGATTGGTTGTTGCCATGGTTGAGAACGCCATTCTACAAGGAGAGAGGCGCGTGTGGGATACACAATGGTAAGTATCGTACGTTGTTTTGTGGGGTTTGCATGGGAGAACCTTACTGTGAGGCTTGCTGGAATTCATCTGAAAGACATGGACCTGGAGAGTGTCAAAGACATCAAGGTCATCACCCAATTTTGCATGTAAGAATAATTCTCTTTACTATTTTTTTTTTAATAAAATGAATAAATATTGATATTTTCCTATCTTCTTGAATTTTTTTTCGCATCTTTGGCAACAAACTGATATTAATTTTTAATTTCTTTGTATTCATACTAATTAGGTTCGTAGAGCTTCGGAACGAACTGCAATCGAAGTATGCAAGATCAAAGGATTATTGGATATCTCGGGTATTCAAGTTTACAGTATCAATGGCAAGGAAATACTACACTTGGACCCTGAAAAAAAGAAAGAACACTATAGAGATCCAAATTGTAAAGCATGCAAGAGGAAATTAATGGATTCAAAGTATTGCTTTTGCTCCATTGCCTGCAAGGTACAATTTACATGTCATTACTTAAATATTATGTATAGTTTTCTTTTCTTTTTCTTTTTTCTATTGATGTTATAATTATTTGGAAGGTCCTTAAAATAATTTTTTATTTATTTGTTCACAGTATTATCATTTACTTGACGACCCTCAAACGATAGAGACAAGTGCGGATGAGATTTACTTTAGAAATAATAGTTCAGAGACAACGATAGAGGCAAGAGCAGATGAGATTTACTTGATAAATAATAATTCAGAGACAATGACAGAGGCAAGATCAGATGAGATTTACTTGAGAAATAATACTGTAATTTCAGAGGCAAGGTCCATGCGCAAAAGGAGCCGGAAAAGAATTCCCACAAGGGCACCATTTGTGTGATTTTCTATAGCATTGCAAAATTTTAGTCTGCTGTTTTAGTTTAAGGTGTGGGAAGATGCTTTTGTATATGAATGTAAAAGCTTGTGGTATTTGAGAAGTTTGAAGACCAGATATTTACTAACATAGCCTTTATGTTATCATGGTTTTTATTTTTGTCTTTTTGTTTTCTTATTTTCTTATTCTGCATTCTTGAATTTTTGCATTTCCTCTTGTGCTTTGGGCTCAATCTCTTGCATTTTGGGTTTATCTTGACTCACCAATTTCATCTCCTAAAAACATACTCCTTGATATTTTGTTTCGACGTTTTGTATATATACATATCTGTAATTTCATAAAAAAAAATATTATTTAATTTTTCTTATTAGGGCAGGCCTCAAGGACTTTATTTATAATTACTACTTCAAGCATTATGATCCACTTCGAAGTCTCGAATACTAAAAAGAACAGAGCGAATGTTAAACTTCGGAAAGTTCAAGAAAACAGAAACTACATTACACTAAAATAGATTAGTGCAGCTTGGTTGGCAGATGATATGGTTTTGATCACATAATGCATTTTGGAAATTTGTACCCAACTTCTGCACAAAATATAAACTGTTCCCTTGCAAAATTGACTGCATGTCACTGAAATCACATTACATAAATAACAGCTAAATAGCACAATATCTAATAACAAGTAAATTCTAGCCACTCTTAACCAAAACACAAACTAATATCGCCACAAAATCAACCCTATTCCCAAGCCCAGCAAATCAAAAAACAACAAACCATCCTTTGCAGGCTATATCAGGAATTTTCCGTATTATCATATCACTCCGCATCACGCAAAAACTCAAGAGCTTTTAAGAATCGTGTCACAGTCATCCGAAATACAAGTGTTCCCCATTTTGCCCCTGTCAGATCCCAATCCATCCCCACCATTCGTTTCCACCTCCGAAAAAATCTCACCCTCATCAGGCTTCCGCCTATTGAAAACCCTCCTTTTAGAACCGCCTTTTTTCTTTTTTGGGGGGCCCACTTTAGTGCTATCCTTGATAGTTGTGGTACTAATTCCGTTATTAGATGACTTCTTTTTCTGCGGGAGAACTGTGTAGAGAGAATTGCTCGTTATATCTTCAGAGTTGGAGTCGGATGATTGGATGGCTATCATTGCTGTTCGAGCAGCTTTGATCTCGGCTTCCTTTTTTGTGCTTGCCAAAGCTCCAATGTATTTGATGCCCCCAATCTCGACCACACATGAGTATGCTGATGTCATGCCCGGATTCTCTACCTTGTGGCACTCGTATAAAGGGATGGCGTAGTTCATCTTCTGCGCATATTCTTGCAGCACGTTTTTGCATAGGCCCGTTTCTTGCTGAGATGTGCAATGGATGTGTAAAAATGTAAACAATGAACATATATCAAGAGTATTTTTTTTTTTTAAATAAGAATAATAGTGGCCATGGCAAAATACAATCTTTTTTGAAGTAAGAGTAACTATCATCTTCCATTTTTTCCCTTTTTCCCTTTCGACAAATTCTAGTAGTTACAGTTTAAGTGTCTCCACACCAGTACGCACACAGAAATAACACAAAAGTTGACGGAATTTATGTTACCCAAGATACTCATATAACAGAGAAAAAGAAAGTGTTTCTTCTCAGAACAAACTCTCTCAGTAAAAAACATGTGTACTTCACTTGAAGATGTTAAGGGAACTTGCAGAAACAAAGAACTCACAGATATTTTCATATAATATACAATCAGAAATATTTAGCATGAATAGATAGTTAGACACAACATGAATACCTATAATTTTCGAAATCATTTCAGATGCTTTTAACGAGTTACGCAGGCAGTAGAAACTCAGCCTTAGCAAGTATGAAATGAAGAATGGTTATATTAAATAAAACCAAGCCGAAATAAAAATTTAAAAAGTTCACTTTTATGTCATATCCACGTTATTTTAAGTCTTCTAAACATTTATCAACATGGATAATAGTATTATTGAGACACACACGAAAGCTACAAGAACTATAACAGAACCAAAAATTGAGAACTTCGAGCTCCAACTATTTATAAAATTCATCCAAAGAAGAACAATTTACTAGGGACAAAAGCTAACTAATATAGTTTGAGGGAAAGATTACATATTGACAAGCAGATTACTTCACATAAATCCAACCTCGAAAGCACCGAATCGGAATGCCGTAAAAGTGTTACAAGGAAAACTACTAGTTTTTGCTTTGTGACCAGGTCACCGTCAAAATAGGGCAAAGATATATGCAAGAGGAATGAGTAATGATCCTTCTCAAACTAAGATATACAGTCAGGACATTAACCCAAATACATATCTTTAGAAACCAGATAAATAGCAACAAATAAAGACAATTACCACAGGTTGGGAGATCCCAAATTTCATATCAGCAGAGTTGGCGAGTTCCACTAGAGCAACTTCGGCAGCTGACTGCTCGGCTGCCTTGCGGTTGAAAAAACCGGGAAGAGAATCGTATCTCTCATTGTTCACAATGACAGTTGATTTAAAAAACGGCTCATGGGAAGGGCCTTCCTTGATAGTTTCATAAACTGGAGTTGTGAATCCAGCCTTTTGACAATATTCTTGGAGCCGACTCTTGAAGATGTAACAGTTTGAGACAGCTGCAATGCATCTTTAAGTGTGAGAATCCTGATTACTTGGAATTGTCTTTTTAACTACTCTGAGAGAGCACATAGAAAAAGCCTTCAGAAATTTAGGAGAGATAGAACACCAAAATGCAACTGTCTAATAAAGTTTCCAGAAAAATACACCACTAATTAATTTTAATTTTGTTTCTCCTACCAACAATTAAAAGGTCACCAATCACAAATAATTTATTCCACATTTTCCCACGAATTTTACCCTATCAGCCACTCACATATTCCTTTCTAACAATGATACTCATTCACTGTTTACTCTCACTGTGAAAAACAACTTTAATCCCTATATTTTCATCTCATATTCAAATTCAACAACCGCCTCACTATCAAACTGACAAAATACACCCACCAGAAAACCGAAATCCCAAAGCATTTTGCCTCCGCACATCTTGAAGCTCAAATAATACAAATTCACAGTTACATTACTACAAACTATGACCTTGACAACAAAAATTACAGAATAGATTTCTACATGAGCATTGAGATTTATGAACCACCAAGAAGAATGAGGTGTACTACCTGCAGATTTAGCTTTCTCTTGTGCTTTTTGATTGTCGGCCATGATCTTCCTCTTCTTCGCAGGAGATTCAAATCCAAGGCTATCAAAAGGCTCATCCTTGACCAGGTGGGTTGTAGGATTAGCAAGGGTAAAAGATGTCCCAACTAAAATTTCATCGTCAATATCTACTGCAATTTCACCAGCTTCCATTTGAAACAATTTCAGTTTTTCCAGTTGTTTTCTGTTTCCCGTGTACTTCACATTTGTAACAAAAATGAAGAAAAATGAAAACTATAGACACAATCACAAAAGATGCAACTGGCAGATTGTAACAGAAAATTATAGACACAATCACAAAAGAACATACAACTAACGCCCAGAACTTCCATTTTTTATACCGTCTAATTTTAACCTAGTAGGACCAAATTAAGTGTCAATTAAGAACAATCAACTCAGCTCCAGTTATAAAATAAAAACAAAAAGGAATAATGAAAAGTAAGACTACATGATAACGGCGGAGGCAGTTGAAAGAGAAGGCGGCCGCCGGGGATTCGTATCTCCAGAAGAAGTCGATGCCAAAGAGACACCAAATTGGGGCCGTCAAATTAAGGCCGGGCGGCTTGCGGCCTCCTACCAGGGCTGTCTCGGGTAAGATGTGATGTAGTCATGCGATGATGGAGGGTTTCCCATTTTTGTGATCGATAGGGCTCTCGAGATTGCTAAAATGGAAGACAATGTCGAAACTCGGGAAGCCGGTCAGGGTTGAAGTGATTGGGACAGTATCAAAAGAAAAGAAAGAGGAGAGAAGAGATGAAAAAGCAGCTGTTTGTAGATTCTAAAGCAGCTGTCTTGGTGAAATATATATATATATCTTTTGATTATTATTTAAATATTTAATAAAGTTAAATAGAACATACGGGAGTACATGATATATCTAAATCTTGTCTTCAATATAAATGCACATTAATTGTGCATAAGGTATTTCTTTTGTTTTGTGATGAAATAAAGTTTAAACAAGAAAAGACTTAATGTATAATTTATCCTTCATCAATCCAAGTTCTAAAGTTTGTTTCTCAATATGAGTCGGCTAGTTTAGTTTTGTACCACTTAAGTACTTCGTGAATAATTTTTTTTATTTGTCATTCACATAAAGCAATCAAATTGTTACGTGGTACAAGACTTATGAAACTAACTCAATTTTGTTAAGGTTGTTGTAAATGAAATATGATTGACCACTCCTCTTTGCCAATAATGTGAGAAGCAATGTGTTTTATTTTTAATAGAGTTTGTGAATGGAGTAAAACCCACATCCCTTATGGATTTTCAACTTACATTTTGGGTTTGTCCAACTAGAGTAAGACTTTCATGTCTATAAGTAAATAATTTGGACTAAAGATTGTGAGTATAAGGCTTTTTAATAACGAATTTAAGGTCAATTTGAGGAAGTTGCGATTGAGTGGGAGATAAGGTTATAAAGCATTATTTTGGAATGCAAACATGGTCCCAAAATGCAAACTCAACCACCTCAAATAAGTATACATGAAGTTTTTGATGAAATTATATGTGAATTGACATTTTGAGGTGTTGTCAAATGGTCTGAAAGTCTTAGTCTCATTGGTCAGAAATGTGGCTTAATGGGTTCAAAAGAAAATAATGAAAGACATAAGGTATGTCTAGTCAACATAAGTTTCATCTAAATAAGGGTTTTGGTTAATGGGTTACAAGAGGTTTTTCTTTTGGTTTTGATGAGAAACTCTTTGTAATCTATGTCATTTTGAAGTATTTGATATTAAGTTAATTCTCTCTATATATTGAAATAATATTAAGTCATTATCACATTTTCGACGGGATAATTAAAGTTAATAATTGTGTATACTATAGATTGGGTGGGAGACTCTAAGGAAAACTAAGTATTATCTCATTAATTGTCCCAAGAATGAGTATAAAGTTTAGAATATACAAAAGATATACATATGATTGGTAATCTAATGTATCTTCAAGAATGTATGCATTTGGATTCCACATACATGTGATTGTTTCACAAATGATTGAATCTTAATTATTAACCCACTGAATATAGCCAAAGGGTTTATAAAGTTTTGTTTAAGAACAAAAGAGAGTTTATACTCACTTAAGGATTATTGGATCATTTGGAACTCTAATTTTGAGTTTATTGATGTCTATAAAGTTGAACGATCCAAATTTAAGTCTAGTTACATTAACTGCTAGTTGGAAGAATTGATTCGAAAAATTTCAAGCAGACACTTATAGTTTATTCCTCTTTAGCAATTGAGATTTTGCTTATGTGAAGACATTATGTAATGTTATTGCTGCATAATATTATCACTAGACTGCATGTTGCGGGTGGTATTAAATGCCACTAAAGTTCTATTGTGAAAATATTAGTTTGTCATTTAAAAAAAAAAAAAAATGGTCACAAAGTTTCTTGTTACTAAGGATAAAATTCATGTTGATGAATTTTTATTGAACACATAAGGATGAATTTATACTAGCAAATTCTTAATATTCTGCATTCTCAATTCTCATCATCTAACAAACACTAGGAAAGTCGCCAATCGCGTAAAACAACAATAATAGGCTCTTGACATGTTCTTCCATCTGCAGGACAAAGTCCAAGGAAACAGAAATCATATACTATATCACCAGTTTCTCAAAATCGCTAAACCAAAGTTTTGCATTATATCACCATTTGAAGCCAGACTAGAGATTATTATCCCAAGAACAATCATCAGTAACTCCTTCCCCAGTAAGTCCACTTTTTTGCAGGCTTTCCTGATGCGAAGCACAAAGTACCTGCAAATTGAGAAATTGGACATATATGATTCACAATTTTTAAAACTCATTGTGTTGGATTTTATGATTTGCCTCGTGTTCTTATTAGGGAATGAATATTATTACCTTCTGGCAGGTCAGGCTGATCAAATGGAGAACAAAGTGACTTAGCTGCACCCATGTCTCCTTTAGTGCGAGTCTTCACATCCTTCTCCACTTCCTGGGATATCACACATGCAACACAGTTGTTTTAAACATTTTTTTTTTTTATAATTATTATTTTTTTTTCAGTTGTTTTAAACATTAAGCCACGGAAAGTCATAAATAGCTCCGTCATAAAAAAATGGGCAGCTACGCATCATATTGATGTTGTGATGTTGTTGTCTACGCATCATATTGATAAGGTTTAAGCCTGTATAGGTGACAAATGGTATCAAATTAGTTTTCCAGATCTACTAAATGCAGGGAAGGTGTTTTAAGAGCCAAATAATCGGGCTTATATAGAGAAATCGATGCTGAAAACAAGAAAATGATAAATGAAAGCATTAGTCTAAGGAACATATTTGAGAATGAGATTAAACCACCTTTGAGGTTCATTCTACTATCAAAATGCCCAGTTATCTACAGAATATACTTGTTTATTCACTTAACTTGTTCAAAGGTATACCTTGCCATCCATTTGTGTTACAAGTTGATCCCCGGATGATACAAATATGCAAAACACATAAAAATCATTGAGTATCGCTAATTCTGAAAGACAATAGTATTTTAGTTTTATTTAATCTTATATTGTTTGACTTTTCAGATATAAGCATCATAATCTGAAGGCTAACTGTTTTAGTTATTTTCATATATAATTGAGAATTATATAATGGAACTCTTTATATGCTCCGCCGGTACTTATTTCACTCTCTCTACTCTTATCAATCCCCTGTGAAAAATAATGACACTAATGATNAAGGAAAAATGGAATCCATCATTATGAATATGCCTCATGGAACCAATCAAAATATCATGGCAAGCTAACTACAAAAAATGTGATAGTACAAACAATTGGTGAAGAGAGGAACAGATAATACCTCCTCATCACACCATGGGGCCAGAATCATCTTTTTCTGGCCGAGTGCTTCCACAAATTCTTCCCACGTGTGTACAACTTGGATGCAGGCATCTCGTTTTTGCTTGGCGACATCAAAGAGATTTTGTTGAATGTTGCTAAGCATTTCTTTCACTTGCTCCACCAAATCAGCTGTAGGAATGTCAATTTTAGCAGAATTGTCACGTCGGACAGCACGGACCTGACATAACAACAAATTGGCTGATTGGGAACAAAATAATATTCCTGATATGGATAGCTGATTTCGCAAAATAATACAGGTAATATTTCTTAATCAGGTTATTAACAAGAAGCAACCTTTAGGTTCAGTGCAGAGAGAGAGAGTCAGAGAGAGACAGAGAACCAGCCTTTAATATTATGAGTACAAATGTGAAGGAAATGGTGATAATATCACAAGGTAATGGTAATTTGAAATATAACTGGACTGTTCTGTAACTGGTCTAAACTTCATAAATAGCTTTTGTAGTTTTATACTTCTTCAATTATAGGTGCTTAATCAGCATACCTGATTATTGGCCAAGTCTTTGGGTCCTATCTCAATCCTAAGAGGAACACCTTTCAGTTCCCAATGAGAGTACTTCCATCCAGGTGAATAATTATCTCTAAAATCAGCTTCCGCACGTATTCCTGCTTCATTCAAAGATTTCACAGTGGCTTCACATGCATCAAAGATCCCCTGAGTGTTGGCATCCTTATAAGGAACAGGAATTACAATCACTTGGAGAGATGCAACTTTAGGAGGCAGCACCAAGCCCTTATCATCCCCGTGAACCATTATCATCACCCCAATCTGTCATAAATTTGTTGATAGGAGAAGGTGCAAGATATAAGAGCAGTAGGAAAAGTGAAATCTTGAAGTCAATCAAGCAAACATATCCTAATAGAATAAAGGCACTTAATGATATCATGATGAATGCACATAAATAACGTATATATGCATGGAAGCATATAGAATACAGAGGAATTCAAAAGTTAAAATAAGAAGTGTTGGAAACAAAATGTTTAATCATATAATAGCTTCTTCTACAATTTCAAATTGCGATTGGATGCCAGAAAAATTGATGTCTTCATCCTCCAAAACCAAAAATTACAGCATTCATTCATCTCAGTTTTTCTCTAAAAATTTTTCAATACAATTTAAGTTAAAAATCAATCATTACTACACATTTCTCTATGAAATTTACTATTCATCTACTCACATATTTATAATTACCAATTATTATTTTACTCCCTATCACATCACAATGAAATAGTAATCACTATATCATATCACCTTACATCATTTAAATCATTAATTTTTCCACTAACTTTTCTTTCTCCAACAATCAAATGACAGTATTATCTAAATGCACCCTAAATTGGTATTTCTTATGATATGGCTGGTGTATAGAATAAGTAAAATCCAATCACATTGAGAACCATAAATTCCAATATTGTTTCCAGCAAATAACATAAACTTTACAATATTATTAGATACAGAAATACACAACAGCAGAAAATGTACTTCAAAGCTCTCCAGAACAGAAGCAATCATAAATGCCCGAAGGACTTTAGGAATAAGACAGGAGGTTTAATAGTCATATTTTTAACAGCATATGATCAGACACAAGTAATAAATAAGAAAGAGGCCCTGTCACTTCCGTATAAGCGCTTTGCATACAGGAACGCCAAAAAACCTGATGTAAAATTACGAGGACAGTTTACCGTTCTGGTGGTGTATGCCCAGGAATTCTGCCAGACCATAGCCTTTTCACCTTTCTCATTCTCAAAATTTATCTCAAACATTTTTGCAAAATTTTGACCCAGACAGTGAGAAGTTGCACCTTGCACACCACGTCCGGTGTTTGGGACAAAGGCCTGCCATGTAAAAGAGCATCCCATTTAAAGATATGATAAAGAAGTGCACCAACGATTTCTCA